GGCTCAACACCTCAGGCGGTAGTCCTTCTCAATATGCTCCCAGGGGGTGTTCTTCATGGCCACTGAACATTCACAAAAAAAAAATAGAAAAAAAAAATACCAGAGAGTAAAAAACAACTTGTTCCACACATGAGCTGCCCTGAAAGCAGCCTGGAAATAGAAATATACCAAGTGAAACTTTCAAAGGGCCCGCCCCGTGCAGCAGTTTCCACATTTTCACCTGCCCACAGGTTTCCCCCTCCTCCGCCTGTCATTTTGATTTCAATGGGTTTCCATCCGAAAATGGCATCGCTTCGGTTTCACTTTGCACTCTCGTGTTAAGAGCCCTAATTACACTCTCAGCAGCCAAACGCCAGCCATCCAGCAGCACCCATTGCACCTCGTCCTCGCCAAAGCACATCCTGCCCACATGTGTCTAGTTGGCAAATTTGACACTTTTGTCATAATTTTGTATGGCTGGGCAAACAAACTATGATGCAGAGAGGAAAAGCAGGCAGGATTTAGTAAGTATTTTGAAAGAGTCAAAGATGGTTTGCTTGAAAATTGGATAGAAAATGATACGTAAAATCTTCGGAGATTCAATGAAATCAATAAGGTCGTGAAATTAAACTATAATTTCTTGATTTTTAAGGATATTTTTCAAGTTGGAAGTAAACTTTATGGAAAAAGTTTCCTTATTAAGTACTTTAACTAGTTTGAATATAGAATTACGTAAACCTAAGTTCTCTAAATGTATTCTTTAAAAAAAAAATAGCTTTTCAGTTTGTATAATTCAAAACTAATTCTATCTTACATTATCAAACATATAATACAATTTTCTATACAAGAAAGAACAACTGCTTTTATTTACAATATTTTTGTTTTACTGATAAATTTCAATACATTTTGTAACCGATTTTAAAGTAAATTACAGTAACTTATTAGTTCTAAAAAGAAACAAAAATAAAACCAAACTTCTTATAAATATTTTCCCCTAGTGGACTCAACACAAAGTGAATCCTGTGTGCTCCTTGTTGTTTTCTGTTGCCATCACATCCATGTTGTTGTTGTTGGTGGTGATTGTCCCACAGCAGCTGCACTCGTGGGTGTAGAGGCCTGGTGCCTGTTTTGTGCTGGCCAGAGTTTTGCAATTAGCCCAGCGCCTGCCTGACAATTGATGGCAGGCCAGCTCCTGGAGGTCCCACACACACACACGCTCGTCCTCATTCCCATCCTGGCTGGCTGTCCCCAATTACAATGGCTGTCGACAAGCCATTTCACCCCACGCTCATGGCACACTCACACACATATTGTTTGATTTGACTTTTATGGTTTATAATTGGTTTTTAATGTGACTGGCAATTAGCAGACATCAGCGGGAACTAGACCATCTTAAAGATTTAATACACCTCGCATGCCAAGTGACATCTCCATCGGTGGCCGCCATAAAAACGCTTGATTTATGCTCCGCCATTGAGGAGTGACATGAAGAGCATATTAAATGCAATAAATTCACTTAGCGGCAGCAGGGGGGCACTCACTGAAAAGCATAAAAAAAAGAGAAGAAAAACCACTTGGATACAAGGAGAAATTCTAGACGAAAAGTACAGAACTAGGGATACCCTTAAAGTGTGGTTTTTTCTGTTAAAACTGAGAGCAATTATTGTTTAATGAATAACTGTCTAAAGACTAGCCTAAATATTGTTTTAATATATATTTAAAAAAAATATTTAGCTGCTTGTAAGCTTCATGCCAAACTTGTCATACCCTATAAATATATAATAAAAAGAAATGCATACTCTGCAAGTCACTGACACGTAAACGTTGCCTGATATAAATGCAATTTCTCTTCGTGACAATGTTGCCCCAGCGAGCAAGCTTCAAATAAACAAGTAAAGGCGACGGGAAAATGCTGAAGGGGGTTGCCACCAGTGGGCCTTCCCTTAATGGAATGGTTGGAGCCCAGCCTGCTCCTTGCAGCACTGCCTCCACATTGCAATTATCGGGGCATGAAAAGGAAAGTGCAGCGGGGGGCGATAATAAAGAACAACAGCGCAACATCGGCATCAGGAAAGTCATATGCCAGCACTTTGCCACAGAGCCAAGAGGGGTGGCAGGAATGGAGTACAAAGCCCCATATCGATTTAATTAATTTTTCCTTTAAAACCTGCAGCAGGTGCCGAAAATTGAAGGATTGAGTGACTGACTGAGTGACTGACTTCCTGACTGATTGCAGTACATGCTTGGATTGTGTAGCTTAAGGTTACCTACTTTCAGGTGTCAAAGTGCCTCAGGTGGTTAGGGAAAAAGTGTGTCAATGGTTTAGATTTAAAATGCTTAGATATTTTTATAAAAAAAATATATACAATGAAATCAACAAACTGAAAACTCAAGTTTTGGTTTGAATTTCAATTTAGAAAAATAATATTTGGCAATATATTTCTAATTTCTTTTCATAAATGGTTCAAAAAGCTCAAACACAATTGGAATTGTATTAAAAATTTAAAGAATTAAGCTTAAATATTTAAAATTTATACTTTTTTAAGTGGTTCATGTAGTCAAGAATATATAAGAACCACAAAATCCCCTTTAGCTTTCGTTGCCTCATTGACTTTGTCTTGCATTTGTCTCTCTTCTAAATGGCGTGTTTATAGCTGCTTTAGATCAATGTTAGATTGAAGTGGCGTCCCCTTATCCTAACCCAACCTTTCCCAGTTAACCGAAAATATAAGGCCACCTTATCGCCACCACTCCACCTTTTACCTTCCCTATTCATCGCACACATGTGTTTAAGTTAGAGTCAACAAGAATAGAGACCAGTCACGGTATTAATAATCAATTCCAACCTCGATCAATCAGCAATCGCTCATTGACAGCTCCTGGAATTCCTTTCCTCCGCTCTCTGCTCCTGCACCCCAGGCTTACCTCATTAGCCACAACATTCCTGTGAGTCAGCAGCGAGTCCTTTCGCACGTGTCTCGCACAGTTGTCGCCCGCTTTTCCATGGCATCATGGCATGCCCAACAGCCATATTATACAGAGAGAGAGCGAGAGGGATACGAACTCTGGGGTTAAGCCCGGGGCTAAGGAGTGTTTTCATTATTATTGGCCTACTTTTATTTACCTGGCCGCCCCCGCCGCGAAAATGTCCATAATTGACAGACCGTTGAGCTGAGGCGGACCAAAAATACCTGGGAATTACGAAGCGAAATAAATGAGTGCGCAATCACAGTGAATTCTAGTTGATTGCTCAATAGGCAAATTGAATGGTATTTATATGGAATTCGTAGAATAATAGCCTTATTTTGGTTGGGAAATGTAAATATATATCAAGGTCTGAGGAAATCACTAACTTTGGAGAGGGAAAATAATTCTTAAAAGATTTAAAATCAGTTGGAAATGTAACTAAAATATATTAAACTAAAGTATAAAGTTTTATGAAAAAATATCCCTTTTGTAAAATCTCTTAGGACAAACAGTTTTATAGCTCTTAATAAAATATAGAGCTTGTAATCTCCACTATAAATATACTCGTTGGCCAAGGAAAATGTCAATTTGATGGCTATAAGAAAGTCATAAAAAAAGATTAAGTTTAACAACCAATTACTCAAACCTTAAACACCAATCCAACATGAACCTTCGTCGGGTTCGGGGCCTTTGGGGACTCGGGGATTGTGCAACTCTTTATCGATTTGGCGAAACCATTTAGATGTGGCCGCTCATCAAGGCCTGCTGGCCATTAAATATAAATTCGACAAGGCATTCTGGCCATCCTGCAGTTGACCCAAAAAGCCACTCGACTGGGGACCGAACCTGAGGCCTCCCGGCCCCAAACTCTAAAACTCGCAAATCATTGAGCGGTTCGAAGTGGAAATGCTGAATACGAAACGAGGCGGACGATGAGGAAATTGCATCTGCATTCAGTTGGCCGAAAGTCTGGCTCATTAATAATGCAGGTCGCATATGGAGAGAGAGAGAGAGTGAGCTACCTCTTCCCTTTAGCCACCGCATTTTCATTTTCCCTTCCGGCTGGCCACACCAACTACCCGAACTTCCCCGAACTTGCCGCGACTTCCGCCGGCTCGTTAGGCGATGGCTTGTGAAATGAGCTCCGACGTTCATTGCACATTATGGCCCACGTCCTGTATGGCTTCTGTTTCGTGTTGTTTCCTTTTTTTTCTGAGCTCCTTACATAATTACAGGCGGCGGCTGCATTTTAAAGAGGCGCCCCAACCCATCGAAGTTAATAAACAATTTGCACTCGTTTGTGGCAGAGCCTCCTCCTTGGCTGAGCATTATTCGTTAATTACTTTTTAATTGCACGGGCCATAGCTCAACTTTTGGGGCAACATTTTTGTTTCGCTTTGGCCTTGGTGCGTATACTTAAAATCCATATAATACACATTTTTCGGGCGTTACTCTAAGGTTTCCCGTTGCGTCATAGGCGTATCCACTTTGCATGTCCCCCTGGGTTTCTTATTTTTTTTTTTGGGTTCGCACAGGAGGAGGCGTGGGCCAACTAAATTAAATTACTTGCCTTTTAGAGCGATTGTCCTGATGATGAGTCACGGCTAAAAGTGTGCAAATTGAGCCTCCTCCGGTGCTGCCCTTTTTCCCTAAAATTTCATTTTTTTGTATTTTTTTTGGGTATGACGAAGGTCCTGCTGATTGTCGCGTTGCTACCTGAATTTACAATGATGTTTCTTAAAGAGGGGGAAACATATGGAGGCCTTTCAGTTGAATTGTTTTTGATAAAATAAAGCTCTTTAAGGTTTCAAGTTGGTTCTTTTCCAGCATTCTTTAAAGCAAAGTATTACATTTTAAAAGTTATTATTTCTGGAACCTTATTTCCTTCCAAACCATCTTAAAAAACCTCTAACCAAATCCCGCTCAACTATTTTTACTTAAGAATATTTATTTAAACGGCTTACAAATGCCCTGATTACGTGCTAGGAATACTTAAGAAAAAGATCACAAAGACTGTTGCCACAACTGCAACATGGAGCTGATGCGACGGCGGGAGGAGCAGAAGTCGAGGACTTACTATAATCACGCCGCTCACATAAATCTCAACCGATGTCGGAGGACACTCCGGGGAGAACGAACCCCCACGAAAACCAAGAGCGAATTCCATCACGTCAGTGTGGAGAAGCCGTCAATGTTGTTGCTCAGCGCATTGTTGTCGTCCTGCTGCTGCTGCTGCTGTTCCTCGCCAGAACCGGAGACGGGAGCCCACCGATTGACAGATGTCTGTCTGGTGGCATTTGGGGGCAATTTGTAGGCAATTGGCAGCTGAGGAGCCAGCGAGACAATCGACCTCGCCCGGCTATTCCTCCCAAAGGGCCTGGCATCCTTCGTATCCAGAAAGAATTTGCCACGTATCCTGCAATTGGATGGGGCTATCAGCGTGTCTCACAGAAATTGGCTTATGTGAGCCTCCCCTCACCTGGGATCTGCGCCCATGCCCATGAAGGCTTGGCCGTTTCCTGGCTCCCGGCAGGCACCAATTGCTTCCGAGGTCTCGCAACGTTGAGCGGGAAATCCTCGAGGCTGTGCTATGCTCTCCACAAAGTACTCCCAGGCCCGCTGGTGACTGCAGCCAACTGCAAGGATAACAGGGAGAGAGAAAAGTGGTTGTTTAGGACTTTCCAAAATATTCTGCTGATTCTAAGGACTCACTAATTATGCCCAGCCAGCGATTATTGGCTATTTCCTGCTTGGCACAGCCCGGCTGCAGGGGTCGTCCTCCGTTCGGATAGAAGTCCGCATGTCCCATGGGTGCAGGGTTGCCAAGGACACCGCCATCCGTGTGAATGACATCCACAAAGCGGGCATCGCTGGGACTTAGTCGACGATTGGAGCTATTGCCCTCGAAAAGAGGTAGTGCCGGGTCCAGAGCTGTTATCCTGGTTAGCTTAATGCCCCATTCCTGGAGTTGCTTGCCAGCAAAACCGGCCACTTCTGCACCTAAGCTGAAGCCAATCAAGTGAATGTGCTTGGCAGAGTAACCCTTGTCCACCAGATATCGCAGGAACCTGGCTATATAGCGGGCCGTCACCGGCAGATTCTCCACGGCATTGGAGTACCAGGGCACCGCTGTCATCGCGCTCCAGTCGATGAGGACCACGTTGTAGTTGCCTCTCCGCAGGAAGGCTGGAATGCCAAGGGGATATGGTGCAGAGAAAGAAATTAGTTGAGTAGAAATTATAATAAAATCTAAATAAATTGTTTTTGAATTCAAGAAGATATAATAAATATTCATCAATTTAACCTTCAAGAAAATTTATATCTTCAGTGTCTAATTTACAATCTTTACTCAATTTTTTCGTTGCGTGTTTGGAAATATTTGGCGACCATCCTTTCTACCTTCACTCACCGTCCTTCAGCTCCTGGCTGCTCTGACGCTCGCCGGTGGCCGACTCCGAGAAGCCATGCAGGTAGATGGCCAGCGGGTAATTGAAATTGAAATTGCTCTGCGCCAGCCGGGCATCGTCGCTCAGGTGTAGCAGTTGGGCGGCATTGCGGTTCCGCCTGCAATGGAAACATGGAAATGGGAAACCGTCTTTTGAAGGTCCTCTCAATATGCATGAGCTGTTTTCCGGTTGCCTACCTGGTGTACAGCATGAACTTGATGTCCTCGCGCTCCTTAATCGCACAGCAGCTGGCGCAGGAACCGCGGGGAGCGGCGCTATAGAAAATGGGGGAACCAGCTGTGAAAGAAGATTAAAAAATATTACTTAAAGGAATATATGAAATACGTTAAAACTAAACCAGTATATATTTCTATCGTTCTAAAATCCTTGGAAAACGTCTAAAAAGTTGTATAATTTTTTAACAAGTTCTGAACTTTCTTAAGCACTAATTTGTCTTCATTTAAATAAGTATTTCAAGAGAGGTATTATCAAGCATTCTTATCCATTTAAAGAAACCTTGAAATATTTATTTTCGTGTAAAAATATATCACCTAAAACCCCATTTGTCTCAATTTGTCCTTTACAAACCTCAAGTTCTTTGTAACTTCTTACAAATTGCAGTCAAACTTTAGCCGGAAATGGAATTTGTCAAGTGCCAAGCAGGTTTATTCAGAGCTTCGAAATACAAAACTAATTGATTCATTAGCTTCATTAGCTGACAACTACTGGCTGGTAACGCGTCGAAATGCCAGGTAGCCATAACCAAAACGAAAAAAAATAAAACTATAACAATAACAAACAGTAACAAGCAGAAGTCAAACCCAAATGAAAATGAAAATAAAAACAAAACCAGTGGCCAAAGAAAACACAAACAGAAACGAAACGAAACTTGCCTAACGAAGACCGACTTGGCCGTGAACTTGAGTGGCGTTTACTGAAATGAAGTGGAATGGCTGCGGCTTGTGGATATTGTACAAGCCAGCACGTGACGCATACGCCGCGTGTTACGCGATGAAATAAAAACAAGTTTACATTTCCATCTGTGGTTTTCGATATTCACACGGCCGAGAGTGCGCCCAGTGGGTGGTTCAGTGGTTTTGGTGGCTTTTTTTTTTGTTCGAGATGTCAGTGGGTCAACCACTAAGAGATTTCAATGAAGCTATCTTTGACTACAAAAGGCTATACTTTTGTTTATCGGCGTTTTTGTTTTGCTACACATATTTAGCGGGCGTTTTGCGAATAAGATAGTTGATCGGATGCCAAGTAACAATGTGATGGCCCCAGCCAATGTCAGCTTCATTTGCAATTCTGGCCACTTATCACCTTCCGTTTGACGTTAGACAGTGTTATATTAAGGGGAACTATAACAACTAGTAAATGGTCTTCTTAAAAGGTTTTTATTTAAGAAAATCTAAATAAGTATCTACTAGGTTCTCTTTTATGTAATGCTTTCCCATTTTAAGAACCATTAATCATCTTATAATTAATATTTATTATATAGTTAGCGTATCTCAAGTTCGTTTTTTGCCTTTTTCTAGTCATACTCTTAATTTTATGTATATAGATTATATATGCTTTATTTATGTAAATGTCAGTGCGTTTTTTTTTTTAGCGGAAGACTTTGTCGCGCTTATTTATGAGGAATGTTTTGTAGTTGCTGCTGCGTATTGCCATTTTAATATTATTTTTTATTCTCTTTGTTTTGGTTTGCTTGACTTTAGGTTTTTGTTTCCACGTTGTTTCGCGACGTCATGCCGTGCATTTAATTTGTATTTCATTTTTAATTATCGCACTCTGGGCTTTAATTTAAATATACGTTTTGACCAGGCACTTAATTAGTGGCTTTAAACCACGCTGATCGTTATGGTTGCACTCTCAGAACTTTACGGATACCGGCTTTATACTTCTAGTCCTAGGTACTTCCCCCGGCTGACATTGAGGATGTGGTGATTTACGCTATTAAGAATGGACTTTATGAACTAGATGGGTTAGTTATAAAACTTTAAGGGTCGTAAGAAGGGAAAAAACCGGAAAGAAAGAGGGGAATTAACTACAATTTAAGTGTAAATTATGCGGTACTTGGTTTTCTTAATAACTTTCATACATGACTTTTAATGAAGATTTTTACAGAAGAAAGGTTTGATTATGTTCATTATTTGGCAATTTAAAATGTGTCAAGTATTTAGTTCCAAAAACCCTGACTAAGGACTACCAAAAGCGTGAATAAACTGAGCGTTTTACATGTGACACTTGATACTTTGATGGCTTTGCCTGTTTGCTCAATATCTTTTGTGATGATTGGCTTTTGTACCCTTCCCTCCCTCCCCACCTTGCTAACTTCCTTCACGGCTCAGTGGATATTCGAACTGACCTACCCCCATGTCCAATATCGCCGATGGTCAACAATTGAGTCTTTTGAGTGTGCTCGTATCAACAAAGACATCAAGTTGTTTGGACTATCGCTACCGCTCCTCCCCGACAATTTACAAGCCACTCCGCCTTGAACTTATGTGCACAGTACCGCCCCGCACCTAACACCCCACATTGAGGCACGATTTCCCAGCCGGCGGCTGACATTGAGGCAGAATCAATGCTAATAGATGCCACAAACGCGAGGAGGGAGGAGGAGATCAACTTACCGAGCAGAAATGTAAATACATTGCATAATGTCGAGGCGGCCGGCAACACCATGGCAAATATGCTAACTATATACACTATATATAAGACTATAAAACAGTTCAAATATTGGCTCAAGTTCTGAGGCGTTCACTGAACCCCGGTTTCTTCTTTTTTTTTTTTTGGGCGGCGTCGTGCTCAGCCAATTCACTTTCGGACGCGAAAAATCAACATTCAAAACGGTTTCCGCATTTGGCTGTTGGCGCGAGGGTTCCTTCTAAGTTTTATCACTCGAAAAAGGCGATTAGACTGATCGATAACGAGCTGACAACAAATGAACGCTCTGTTCTCAACGAGCTGCGCCGGCGGACTGAGCTATCGTAACTCACCAAGCGTCCAGCTAGACGCTCTGCCGGCGTCGCTGCTTCGACGGAGCGACGTCAGAATTGGCGCAGCCCTAAAAACGAAAGACTCAGGCAACAAACTTCGGCTGGCAATGCGTTCCGTATTTAAATCAGTTAATCAAGCATGCCAGAGCCGATGCCTTACGTCTCGAGATCGTTAAGTAGTTTTTTTTTTGTAATTTCCTGATTGTCGCGCGTCCAGCACCCAACACCCACCGCCACTCACTCGCTCCCTGACTGGGATTCGCAATGAGCCCACCCACCAGGTGATCTTCGATGGGAACAAAAAAGGGTGAGCCAAAGCGCCGCCGGATCCATCTGACAGGCAGGCAGCTCACCTTGACCAGACGCCGACTTTCCGTTTCACTTCACTTATCGCCTCTCAATCGCATCCGCCAGCCAATAACCGACAGTCTTTATCCATTCTGACCCATCCTCGATGGCTTGGACCTCTTTTCGCGAATATTTTTGTACGGATTAATTAGTACGGCGCTGAGTTGGGCATTAATCATTTAAGAGATATAAATGCAGGGCAATCACTTTTGACTTTGGCAAAAAAAATAAAAGAATTTCGCTCTAAAAAAAATTGTTTAAAATGTTTTGTGAAGCTTAAATGTTTAATACTTGTATTTTTTATATACAAAAATTATTTTTCATTGTCTTTATAGTTATAGTTTTTGTTTTAAGGCCAGCAAAGAGCATACAAACTCCCACAAATTATGTTTAAAATTATTTTCAATGCGGGCGTGCGATTTCGCAGTTATTTTTTTTGCCGCTGTCTCAGCTGTCAATAAATGTGGCGGATCCGTGGGGGGTTTCAGGGGTTAAATATCAGCGCTCATAAATTTAATAATTAAAACTTTAATAAATAATAATAAACAAATATTTTTTATTTAAAAATAACTGATTAATGGCTGAGCTAAAAATATAAAAATATAAAAATAACAAGCTTAAAAAAATGTAAAACATTCAAAAACAATTAATTTGAATTAAAAGTTCGAGTTCAGGGCTTTTTCCTATTTTTACCAAGCTGCAAAAATAACAAAATAAATAATAATTTAATTTTTTATATCAGCTCAACTTTTAATATAAAAAAAACCCCCCTTGAAAACATTTCTTGCCTTCCTCTCTGATCCATATCAATGGCCTGAACTGTGTGCACTCGACCAGAGATCCGTCAGCTGAGGCTACAGATGGCAGGAGATAATTGCAAAAAGATTCTTTGGACATTTCGCGGTTGGCTATCGATTGAATGAACACTTGATTGATTTGCCATTGCTTGCATAACCCACCAAATACAGCAATTAAATATATATCTTACATATGCAACATTACAAAAGGCCCATTAAAGAGACCTTCGCCGGCGTACAATTCGCGACATTGAAGAACCACCAAGTGCAAGGGCTCTCACCACACGAAAACCACACACACACACTCCAGCACAGTCAAGGAGAACCGCCTTGAGGGGCTCCACATTGCAAACATTATATAGTATATTTGTGAATGAAAATCGCAATGGAAAATGCCGACTGAGTGTGCAAAAATAAAGAGACTTTACAACTTCCTCAAGCCTTGCCAAATTTATGGCTCAGACATAATAAGCACAGATAAATGTGGCACAAAGGGAGCAGCTCCCAAAAATAGCCAAAGAGGCTATAAATATCTTAAAGCGATCGTAAAATCATTTCATTCCATTCGATCAGCTCTTAAAAAGCTGCTGAATCACACAATTAATTATTGACACGCAGTAGTAGTTCTTATAAATGGAAAGATTCGAAATTAATAACAAGTATAATATGTTCAACGATCTCTGCCGACGGCCTGAGGTCGAGCACCGACACCGACACCGACCGAAACTGACCTCAGGCTATACAAAATATATATATCTAGATATATATCTGCTCAAATACAAAGCGAAACGAAGATACATTTGAATAATCACTCGCTGATTCGATATGAAATCAGACCGTTAGTCAACGCATAGATTGCAATCGACTGCTAATTTGGTAAACATTTTTGAAAAATTTCATTTATATTGTCCGAAGAGCTTTATGGACATGTCAAGCGGCTTCTGGCAAGGGCCTTGGCTCCGCCACCATCATTTACAGCTAAGCAGCTGTAAAACTGAGCTGTCGGCCAAGTAAATATCTGTCCACTGTTTGGCCAATTAATTTTACCCAATTTATGGGGTTTTAGGTTACGATAATAAAGATTTTTTTAAAATAAAAATGCTGAACAGGAAAATCTCACAGATGAAAGGGAAAACGATAGAAATTTGTTGAATCTAAGAAATATATGAAAAATAAATTTAGAAGTTGAGAATGTTTTAAACAGAACACAAGCCAGTCAATTATCGTTATTTCTTATTCAAGGTTAATATTTACTTTCGCTAACATACAAAATTAAGTCATTAGTCAGCATTATAAAGTTTATGTTGTAAAATAAACTGATTATCTTAACTGTTTTTTACTTAATTGCGAGCAACAGCTCTTAAAATACAAGTGCAGCTCATGCTTTATTTAAGATTTTAATATTAAAGCTAGATTTGACACACTGCCACGAATATTTTTTAATTACCTTAACCTTTTAGTCTCTCAGCAAATAAATTATTGTTCTAATTAAAAAAGAACTTTGCTTACCCAGAAAATATATTTTTTAGCTCTAGAATAAATGTACTTGTTTCCTTACTTCTTCTTTTCTTTCTTTTGTATAAAGAAATGGTCTGTAAACAGATTATTTCTTATTTTAAAGTGAATAAATAAAAAAAAGCATTACCAGACTAAGAGCATTAACCATTTTTTTCATTACACTTTATCCTTTATTCACAGGATATTTGAGTTACTTTTCAAAAGAAAATTAAAATTGATCAGCAGAACGTAAAAGCTTAGTTAAGAATTATTTGTTTTACAACGATTCCATCTGAATTTAATGCATACTCTTAAGCTCAAGAAAATAAAATAAAAATAAATCATAAACCCCAGCATACTTCCAGGCAAAACGTTTATAACTTCATATCCAAACTGCTTACCAATTCCAGGACAAGTTGCTGAGCAAACTCGAAGAGGAGAGCGAGCCGGATCCACCTACCTCGCAGGAGGACGAGTGCGTAATCTGCATCAATGCCCGGGCCACCATGCAAACCTCGCCCTGTGGCCACCGCGTCGTGTGCCGGCGTTGCTTTGTCAAGACGATCCAGAGCGCAGTGGCCCAGCGTCTGCTGCCACTGCGCTGCGTCATCTGCCGGGCCAGGGTCAATCGTCTGACCTCCTCCTCGGGCACCTGGCGCATCCAAGAGTCGGCCAGCAGCTACTCGATGGGCGCCAAGAGCTGGGCCTCCGCCGGTGTGGCCGCCGGCGGGGTGGTGCCCTCGGCCAGCTCCTACTCGATGAATGATGCGCACAGTGGCCATCATACGTTCCATCAGCCCACGCTGCACAAGGGCCGGCATCACTATGTGCCTGGTGCCACGCACCGGGGAGGCGGAGGAGGAGCCAACCATGCCAGGGTCAGCCAATCGGACAGCCTGTACTCAATGAGCTCGACGGGATCGGCGGGCTCCTCGGCCTCCGGTTACTCGCACTACTCCAAGACGTCTTCCATATCGAGCAGCGGCCCCTGCTCACCGGCCTCGCCGGCCGTGGCTTCCAGCTCCCATCATTTGGCCCCGCCCTCGCCCACCACGCACCATCATCACCATCACCATCATCAGGCGGTGGCCTCGCCCACGCCCTCGGGCTCCTCCGGCAGCTCTCTGTCGCCCAGGGAGAACACTGGCTCGGGTTCTGGCGGCTCCCATTCGCATCACGGTGGCTGTCCCAGTGGCTGCTCCGGCGCCGTGCCAAGGAAACCCCTGCACACGCTCAACAACTCTGCCTCCACATCCATTTCTGCTTCCGCCTCATCCTCCAGCAGCAGCAGTGGCGGTGCAGGGGCTGGACCAGGACCTGGACCTGGAAGCGGGATGAGCGGGATCAGCGGCATGATGACGCCCACGCACACGTATCCGGGAAGGCGGCACGTGAAGAACCGACTGATGGACATCCACAACCGACTGCCGCCCATCAAGGAGTTCCGTAGTCCGGCCAAGGTGCCGCATCCCTCGCCCGTGCACGTCAGCAATCCCAGATTTCGGTGAGAATTAAGGATAATATAATTAGAATTCCTTGTTAATCATCCCAAAATCCCTACAGTTACTCCACCTACACGAAGTCTAGTGCCCATGAGCTGGCCCCGCTGCTGCGGGAGTCCGGTTCACCGCCACCTCCACGTCGCCCCAGTCCCATGAACATCCAGCTGAGCTGCTCCGCCCTGGCCCCGCCCCCCCTGAAGGCGGGCGGGGCAAAGATCAGCCCGGTAACCTCAAAGAACTCGCTGCCCAAAAACGCTTACGTGATGCCCAAGGACAAGAAGCCGCCAGCTTCGGTTCCATCTGGGAAAACCAATGGTGCTGCTACCGCCAGGACAATTCCTCAAGGAGCAGGCTGCTCGCGGGCCTCGTCCGGATGCGCTGCTCCGGCTGCAGGCTCAACTGGGCCGGGAGCCAATGGCAATGCCAGGCCCTCGACAAGCTCTTCCAGTCGCAGTTTTCCGCTTTTCTCCGCCGGCAGTAATCAGAGTAAGTTCGAAGATCTTTTTAAACACGTTTTTCGGGATTAATGCTAGCTTAGTTGAGGGATTTTTAACGGATTTTTGATTAAGAGAATCCGGGGACTAATTGGATTTATTTCCTATTCCAGGAGAGAAGGCTGACAATAAGAAGAACGAGTCCGTTGAGCGCAAGAAGAAGGAGGAGAAGCTCAAGCTGAAGGCTGAGAAGGAAGCCAGGAAGGTGAGTGGAAATTATGGGGAAAATGAGGGGGGTTCTCGGGGCCTCGTCCTGTTCTTCTTTGTTTGGGAGATGCATTGTTTTTTTCCCTCTCGCTGGAACCCCTGACCCGGGCTCTGCCTATTTGTATTGTTTCTAATTGGCCTCGTTCCCCTTTTTTTGCTGCTGCTGCTTGCCAACTGTTTTGGAAAAGTTTTTCATTAATCGCAGGCGAAAGGGCTCTGGGGGGAAATGGTGGGAAATGAGTGCCTTTTGTGCCGGCGAAAGCATAAATTTCCAAACTTACGAGCTCATAAAGCGCGCCAGCAATTCCGATTTTCTTCTTTATGATTTTCCGAGCATGCAAGCAAAGTTCTATTTAGTTAACAACCGAATTGCAAATTTTGCATATTGCATTTTCCATATTGCAGGAGGAGAAGCGCCTGGCCAAGGAGGAGGAGCGTCTGGCCAAGCTGCATGCCAAGGAGGAGAAGAAGCGCGGCAAGAAGGAGGCCAAGGAGCTGCTATTGGCCAACGATGGCAACAGCAAGAAGTGAACCCAATTAGCCAGCAAAAACAACAACAAAAAACGCATATTTCCAGTTGCAATTCTAGCCTTAAGGACATCACCAAGAGTACCCGTGTAACCAGGAGCCGGTGCCCGGTGCTATATCAAGAATCCGATCGAATCACACACCTCAAGAAACCCCATATGAAACGAGCTTGATTGTATTTTTAGGATCATATTTTCTCAGTTAGCAGTTAATCCTTTGAATGAGTTTCCAAGCCAAACAAATAATTTAGGGAAAGAGAGTTATTTCCAAAGAGCACAAAGAGGAGTCTTAAAACTTGTTAAAAGAAAAAAAAAATTCCTTTCAGATCTAATTTTATTCAAATAATTATTTAAATTAATTTAATTAAGGGTTCATCTTGACCCTAAGAAAACGATGCCAAACATTTGTATGAATGATAAACTTTTGGCAAAAACTATTAAAACATTTAATTCTTTGCTTCTTCCATTAAGTTGTCTTTTAATTAAAGCCGACAACTTTCATAACTCTTCGCTGTATAGAGATTATGCTAAGAGTAAGATGAAATCGCTGCCTTTCGTTCGAAGTTGCCTCAGCTCTCAGCTCATCATCTGTGTCCCATAATCAATTTAAAAGGTTGTTGAAACTATTTCAATTTGTCACATTCCGATAGAAGTTTCCTAAAAACAATAGAGAGATTACTAATACCTTTTTACTTTCGAGTTTCCAAAGAATACTAGACCTAGACTACTAAAACGATACTCCTAGGTAGAGAGCAAGCCTCGTCTCGAGCTATAGAACCATGACCACTCTTAAGGCAAACCAATGTTAGAGCCAAGCTTTGGCAAGTGTTAGCCACAATCCGGATAAACTTACAAACTATATACCTAAACACAGATTCGATCAACCAATATGTTAACATGTTGACTAACAAATTACCAAATGAGAGCGTATTTAAGTAGTTTTCATATACCCCTCTATATATATTATATATATATCTGTATCTGTAACTATATCTATAGATTCCAATCCTATACTGGAAACTGTTCAAGCGGCAAACATAAGCAATGTTTCGATGTATGTTTATGTGTATATGTATTAACAAGATTGTTTTAAAAACAGAACAAGGATTCCCCTGTGAAAGTAAGAAAGAAATATAGGGAATCGAAGAAACCCAAATAAAGAATCAATTATGTTGAGGACTCCTCATCCTGTGGTTTTCATGACATTGCCCTTGAGCTTGGCCTTCAGGCATCGGTTAAAGACATTGGCAAAGGGAAAGGGCAACTGGCCCTGGCACCCAAGATTCCCCAGCTTGTGCAGGGCTCCATAATCGAGGCAATTGATCTCCTCATCCCTATTGCAGTCTTGGCCGTGCTTGAACATATAGCTTTGGATCGTGTCGGCAGCACAGTGGGGATCATTCACGCAATTGGTAAAAGCTGAATGGGGGACATGTCAGAGGCTTAAGATAAGTTTTAAAGAGTGCTTATGGCTGGACCTACCATCATCGGAGAGAGCTGTGTCACCCGGCAGGGTTATCTTGCCTCCCTCCACCCAATAGCCCCAGGTAATCCGAAATATTCCACAGGCACCGTTCACGCAAATGGCGGAGGCATTGCAGCCGCTCATTGTCTCACACAGACAGTCCAGGCAATCTTCCGTGACGGGTTTGTTTGTCACTAAAGACACAGCAAAAAAAAATTGGTAAATTAAGAAATATATTTGTAAACCGTTAACTTTATAATAGCAGAATAAAGGTATGTTTAACTTATATATTTATACAGTTCTTAAACTTATATAAAATTGTTTCAAGTATTTTGTCTCAGTGTTTGGGAGAAATGAAAATGGGCGGATGTAACTGCCGGTTATATATTATATATTCTATTGCCACAAACAGGCTTTAGTTTACAGCTTTACAGTAAATGGATTACCATAATTATAGAGCTCTCTCTACGACGTACTAGGCCCCAATTAATTGTCGCACAGTGGTGTCAACTCGTACTTATCTAGGAGAAATTACTCTATAAAATGATGATAACCACTTACCCACATTGCTGGAACCACTGTGGACCAATAGCCACAAAGCACCTAGACTGATTAGTAGTAACCTATACATAACTGAGCTTCGGATCCGATCCAGAATCGAGAAACCGACCTACCGTCGCCGTGTTGACCACACAACTGATCTGAGTTGGCCGTAGCCACCGGTTTATTAATAAACTTTAACGCCTACATTAGCAATGCAATATTCGCACATACATTAAGCAGAGTCTTCCTCATAATTTACTAATTTATTAAGTTACTATACTAAGTGGAATGCATTCCCGGAATTTCAGTTGGCTTTCTGGCGCTTCTCAGCCCGCAGAGCATCTCTCAGGCAGCGTCTGAAGACGCTTTCATAGGAGTAGGGCATATCTGCCTTGCAGTTAAAGGGACCCATGTAATGGATGGCTCCATAATCGTAGCAGTCCTCCGTTTCGTCATCGTTACAATCCTGACCGTATTTGACCATGTAGCTCTGCAAGGTATTGGCAGCGCAAATAGGATCGTTGGCGCAGTTGGTGAAGGCTGTTAAAAAATTAAAAATATTATATATTCTCATTAAAAATGAACTTTAAAACTCACAGCTTTCCGTTAAAGGAGAGTCCCCTTCTATGGTAAATCGCCCGGAGTCCACCCACTGATCCCAGGTGATCCTGAAGATGCCACAAGCCCCATTCACGCACACAGCCGTGTCATTGCAGCCACTCAGGGCCTGACACATACACACCAGGCAGGTCTCTGTGATGGGCTGTTGGGTCCCCGCTTGGATCCATATCACTCCGATGGTTAGACCCAGGAGAAAAACAAACAATGATGATCTGGTATACATGCTAGATAAACTGGGAGAACTGTATTCGATGCAATCCGCGATTGTTTGATCACTGAAACGATCTCAGCTTGCGCTACTGGTTTTATTAGTAAACACTGAGAGCCGAGTGACTAATTGCGGTAATAGGAAATAAAGCGGGTCTAGTGCTACAGCAGGGGCGATTCCCGGCTAATATTTATTTAACATACAAATTATAAGTAGATTTGCATACATATTTAAAGATTAAATTCCTCGGAAAAAAGGCCTAAACAATTTTTTAAAATTAATAAACATCTTTATAAACTTTATAAACACTATAAAAAACACATATTTCTCATTATTCAAAACCCTGGTCCTGGTAGTTCTCGATACACTCCTCAAAAGCACTCTGATAATCAAAAGTCAATTCTCCTTGACAGCCATAGGCCCCCAAATTGTGGATTTTGGCATAATCATGGCAATTCATTTCGCCGTCCCCATTGCAATCCTGATTAAATTTTTTCATATAATTCTGCACCAAATCAGCGGCACAGTGCGGATCATTGGCGCAGTTCTGGAAGGCGTTCTCCGAGTCTGGATCCTCGCCATTCAGCGTCAGTTTTCCCGCATCCACCCAGTAGGCCCAGGTGATGCGGAAAATGCCACAGGTTCCCTTCTCCGGACTCGTGCAAATGGCCGTGGCATTGCAGCCGCTGATTGCCTCGCAAATACAAGTGAGACACAGCTCAGTTACGGGCTTATCCAGCACGTGACCTATCAATGCAATATTTGAAACATATTTCTTTTAAAAATATTGTAAGAAAAACTCACCTTGACTTCTAACTAAAGTGGGTCCTAGCGCCAGCAGAAAATAACCAAAAAACATTCCCAAGAAAACTCTCATTCTCCGTCTTGTTATAGTAATAATCTATCACCTCAGCACCTGAACTGCGAATGGTGCTAGAGAATCCCATGAACCGAGTGCTCACCAGGTAAATCTGTCAAGCTGGCGGAAAATACCGGTTTCTAGGGCGCTTTTAAATGATATTCTTATTACAATATATTATTATAAACATATGTATATATTTAATTATATTATTATATATAATATTTTGGGAGAAGAATTGTATATTGTGAACTTAAAATTGTATTAAAATATTTATCAACAAACATTTAGATTCATTTAGATTTCCGGCTCGGCAGGCTTTAAGCTTTTTTTATCACTTCCGAGTTGACTGCTTTGATAATGTGATATACTTTTGGGCTTGTTCTTCATTTTAGTTTTTAGATTTATCAATAAAACTCTTATTATAATATTTCTAATAAAAATATATTAAAACTATTTAATAGACTTTTCCATAGTTGAAGGAAGTTCTTAGTTAGACTTCTTGAAAAGACCCAGGAAAAAGTATGCAACAATGAAACGATATTTAATTTTTGTATTACGCCGTCAGGTGGCTTTAGTTACTTAATTTATTTACTTTAAATGTAAATCTAACAAGAAAGAAGTAAAATTTTAGAAAGCCACCAATTAAAAAATATCAATTCGGATAGCTTTTCTGTGCTAGTTTTCATTAGGTGTTTAAATCTGCATGCTGAATTTAAATTTATAAAATTATTAACTAAATTAATTAGACTTTAAAAATTTGGACATAATACATGAATGCCTTAAACATTTTTTATTTAATATTATAATCACCAGTTTAGTAACAGATTTTCGAAATTTCTTATATCGAAGCAAGTTGTTTTATGAGATTCGATTTTGTTGGAAAACTAAGAAACTAAAACCCCATTTTTACATAAATTGAATGCTTCATATTCAATCCCTTGCTGCAGTGTCATTTTATTATCAATCTCAATTGCGCAATCTTCTTCGAATTCAAATGCATTGCCATAAATTATTAATTAATTACATTATTTATATATTAGATGGTAGATAAATTTAGCAAGATGGTGGGATTAACCGGAAATGCGCACATCAACACTCTGGAACGAAGTCAGGCATGTGCCCAGGGTGTTCTGATAATTATAGGCCAACTCTCCGGTGCATCCGTATCCTCCCAGCTTGTGGATGGCAGCATAATCGTAGCAATCGACGGCACCGTCACCATTGCAATCCTGACCGAACTTGGTCATGTAGTTCTGAATGGTGTTGGCCGCGCAGTAGGGATCGTTCACGCAGTTGGCATAAGCTATATAAGCGATATTAAAGATAATATAAATAATAATTAAAGAGGGGGAAAACCGGAAAGGAAGGGGGCCTCGGAACTCACCGTCCTCCGACTGGGGACTCTCGTTGCCCAAGGTCAGCTTGCCGCCGTCGGACCAGTAAGCCCAGGTGATGCGAAACAGGCCGCAGACTCCACCGCCGCAATAGCGGGTCTGGTTGCATCCACTAATGGCCTCGCAGATGCATCCCAGGCACACATCAGTCACCGGCTTATCTGTTTGGGGTGAGAGATCAGTCGATTCAAATCAAATCAGCGTCGTACCGAGATTAGCCTAGGGAACGTAACCAGAGCGAGCTCTAAAAAAGCAAAAACCCGAATGGTGTCACACATATTTGCCCAGCCCATGTCATCGCTTTATTCAGATCATTCGGTAATGTTTGTTGTTGAATTTTATAGAGTTATATAAAGCCGAAATTATTGGAATTTTAAGTGAGCACAAGGAAACAAGTTAAATCGTATAACAAATTCACTAAAATGATGAGTAAAACATTTTTAAAATATTTTTATATAATTTAAAAAGGGTTTACAAGTGGTAAACAAACATTAAATTCAATTTGATACAAAATATCTGTTCTTAAAATTCATAAAAAAATATATAATTAAATAAAAATATAATATATTTATGGAAGAAGAAACCATTCCGCTGACTGCACGCCCATGAACCTGAGCTGGAACGTTCCGTTGAATCTGCCAGCCTCACGTCTACAACTCATTTTTTAACCGAACTAGTTTTGCAACTTTCAATGGCAACATTGAGGCATCTCCGGAGAACGAATCCGGCAGAAACGTAGGCGTGGATGAGTCAATATATATATACATATATTGGCGTTATCAAGACCTTGTTCTTGTAATTAAATTTTTGTATTTATTGTTGTATTTTTAATGGATATTCTCTAGCCTTTGCTTCACCCATACACACGCGCGAAATCGTGGCAAAAACTCAGTTCACTGACCTATGCAAAACTAATCTTGAAAGGCGCAAAAAATTGGGTCAAGATTAATAATGTTTCAGCCAAAAACTCGAAGTTTGAATAATTCTTTAAAAAACAATCCACTTTATAAAAATAAAGCTGACAAAAACTAATATTTTATGGGTATTTTCCTGAGATAATCGACACGCAGGTTGTGATAAAGCCAACAGACGTCATCGTTTCGAATTGTCACGAAGGTGGTGGGGGTTTTTTTGGACGAAAACAATAGCATGCTAGAGTGCATTGTTGGATTCAATTCCGGAATCGGGAAATTTTCAAGGTAATCGACATCCTTTTCACGAAGAATTCAAAGATAATGGATAATGTGCATGGTGTTAATTAGCCAGTTAAACAATTAGTTTATTAACCAGAAATCCGAATGAGCTCATTGCACAACAGCTAATAAGGCCAGCAATTGTAAAATAGTTAAGTATAAATGATAATTCCAATTGGTTTCCGCTTAATGTAATGGGCATATAAAAATCGGAAGTAATTTCAATGGCAAAGCTGCGTTATTGACAGTCAACGAACCGGGTATCAAATGATAGATGAGCATCTCAGATCTGAAATCGACGTTTGTCAACGTCTCGAAACTTATTATATGCAAATGCTGACAAACACGATGGTTAAATGTATCTGGGAAATCCATCTAAGAACGAAACATGTCTTGCTCGCAGAACAAAAGATACAAATACGAGTATCTATACAATTGCTAATTAATGTTAATGAATGCAGACGATCCGGGTATTTGTATTTCGCGTTCAAAAAGCAAATCTAACGCAAATGCGTAACAAATTCGTTTTGAAAACAATAACAAGAACGGAAATGTTCTCGTATTTTGGATATATTTTACTCACCGGTGGCCTGAATGAGAGCCGCGAATCCCAGGCATAGCAGAGCCCCAATGGCCAGAGTGCAGCTTAATTTGTTGGCAGCCATTATCTAAGCAGTACTTTTGTCCAAAATCAGATTTGATTTTTAAGCTGCAACAAACTGAAGAGCAATATAATCCAGTGACTTAATTATAGAACCGAACTCTATCGAGCGCGCCGATCAACTGAGCTGGGAAGTGCGATGAGCTTGCCTTTTTGGTTGGCCAAAGCTCAGGTAAAGCTCTAGAAACGAAAGACTTGAGCTGGGAACTTGACTTAAAACTGTATAGTTACAAAGTATACATTTGGGAGTTGGTGATTTTAAGAATCATGATTGACATTTAGATGTAAAATACAGAGAAATATCTTATAGTTTCTTTATAAAATCCATAACAAGGTACTGACATTTTAAGTCTACAAGTTAATGAAGATTCCAAAACTCTATTCCCTCTAAAATATCCATTTCATAGTTTCTTCGCTTTGCTCAATTTATTCAAAATATAAGAGTATCAAGAATCTCATGTTTAGATCTTGTTGAAGGCAGCAATGTCGACGGACTGAACAAAGTCCTCGAACTCCTCAATCTTCTCTTGCAGCAGATCAATGGACACCTTATCGTCCTCAATGACGCACATGATCTGCAGCTTGTTGATGCCATAGCCCACGGGCACCAGCTTGGAGGCTCCCCACAGCAGACCGTCCATCTCGATGGTGCGCACATTCTTCTCCATCTCCTTCATGTCGGTCTCATCGTCCCAGGGCTTGACATCCAGGAGCACGGAGGACTTGGCAATGAGGGCGGGCTTCTTGGACTTCTTGGCGGCGTAGGCAGCAACGCGCTCCTGCTTGATGCGCTCGGCCTCTTCGTCCTCCTCGTCATCGGATCCGAATAGATCCACATCGTCGTCATCGTCGGCAGCCGGCTTGGCGGGAGCAGCCACGGTGGGCTTGGCTCCGGCCAGCTGGGGCAGAGGAGTGCCAGTCCATGCGGCACGCTCTGCGGCCTCGAAGGAGGCAATGTGACGGTACCAGCGGGCCACGTTCACGTAGTCACCGGCCGGGGCCTTGCCCAGAGCATCGAACACCGACAGATCGGCCTTGCTGGGAGTGTATCTACGGGAATTAAAGGAAGATTAAAGTTAAATAATGCTAATATGGGAAATCTGCGAGGTCTGCCGACGTGGTGCGGTCGTGCCTAACCTCACATTTCGGCGCCGCGTGCTTACCCGCTGATGTAGCTGTTGTCGGCCAGGAAGTTGTTCAACTCCTTGAGTCCAGCGGGGGTCTTCACATCACCGAAAGCCATTTTAAATGCGTTTTTGTGGGGTAAATTCGCGTTTAACAATCAAATGCCGTGCTCTGCGCAACGTTGCCGACGAGGAAAGAAGGTGTGACCGTTCATCGGTGCTGCGAGTTTAGGTATTTTTTGGCTAGTTTTACACTTTATTTATGCAACGAATTTGTTTTAATTTCTTAATTTATTTTTTTTAGTTCTGAATCAAACATGTTTTTTATTTTCTATGAAACAAAAAAGAAAATTAATTTTAATTAATTTAAATATATTTTTTAAATAACAAATAAATAAACAATAATAAACAGATAATTGGTATTTTTCAGTATGCACTCCAGATGCAGTAAATTCTATGGTCCCTCTTACGGTCATACTGATGCTACAACAATTTTTTGCAGACGCATAATTTTCACCGAAAAGCCGAAAGAAAACCGTGGAAAACGCGAAAAAGCCGTGCAAAAAACGGGCCAAACAAGTAATAAACAAAAGCGCCAAGCAAGAAAGGCCGTAAACTCCGAATTGAAGCGGGGAAAACTGTTGTAGGCTGCTTTTTTTGTACGTGAAAAACTCGCCCCCCATTCCTTATTGAATTTTCAACTCGTGGAGAGGGAGAAGTGAAAAAAGTTTTCGGCCGGAAAAAGGGAATCAAAATCACAACGAATCTAGTGCCGACATGAGCGACTTCCAAACTCAGCAAGCAAGCCTTAGTCAATCTCAGGCGCTGGCCCAGGCAATACAGCGTGCCAAGCAGGTAAGTGGGCCCCGGACCGCCCCTGGGAAGAGGAAGAGCCGGAAGCCGTGTGTGTGTATATATATAACACTATATTCCCTTTCCCGGTAAAACGCAGATTGCTGCAAAGATACAACCGAATCAACAAGGCGGTGCACCAGCGGGCCCATCGCCACCAGCGGGAGGAGGAGGTCCCGGTCCTGGCGGCAACGCTTTTAAGCGAATGAACGACGACGGCGACAGCGGCCCCGAAAGCAAGCGCTCCTTTGGTAGCCCGGATTACGCCAACAACTCTAACATGAGCAGTGGTAGCGGAGGAGGAGGCGGCGGCGGAGGCAGCCAGGGCGGGGCCAGCATCACCCAGGCCATTGCCCAGGCAGCAGCGGTTGCTGCCAGGCTGGCTGCCTCGGCGGGTACCACCTGCGAGGAACAGATCCGCATCCCCGACTCGGTGGCCAGTGCCTTCATGGGTCGTGGAAGCAACGACACCATTACCCACATTCAGGCCGAGTCGGGAGCTAAGGTGCAGGTGATGCAGGATCAGGATCGCGTTCTGATGCTGCGCGGCCAGCGCGAAACCGTGACCAAGGGTCGCGAGATGATCCAGGCGATGGCCAATCGGGGCGGAGGCGGACAGGTAGAGGTCCTGCTCACCATTAACATGCCGCCACCCGGTCCGAGTGGCTATCCGCCGTATCAAGAGATCATGATACCGGGCGCCAAGGTGGGACTGGTTATTGGCAAGGGCGGCGACACCATCAAGCAGCTGCAAGAGAAGACCGGCGCCAAGATGATCATTATACAAGACGGGCCCAATCAGGAGGTGATCAAGCCACTGCGCATATCCGGCGAGGCGCAGAAAATCGAGCACGCCAAGCAGATGGTGCTGGATCTGATTGCCCAAAAGGATGCCCAGACTCAGCAGCAGGGACGAGGTGGCGGTGGCGGCGGAGGAGCAGGAGGTGGTGGTGGCGGAGGCGGCGGGCCTGGCATGGGCTACAACAACTTTAACAATGGCAACGGCGGCGAGAGCGTCGAAGTCTTTGTGCCCAAGATAGCGGTGGGCGTGGTCATTGGCAAGGGCGGCGACATGATCCGAAAGATACAAACCGAATGCGGCTGCAAGTTGCAGTTTATCCAGGGAAAGAACGACGAGATGGGAGACCGAAGGTGCGTCATCCAGGGCACTCGACAGCAAGTCGAGGATGCCAAGCGCACGATTGATGGCTTGATCGAGAACGTGATGGTGAGCGGGCGTCCCTCAGGTGGTCTGTGGATCCCATTTCTAACCAACTCTCCTGATCCAATAGCAACGCAATGGCATGAACCGAAATGGCAATGGAGGTGGCGGCGGCGGAGGCCAAGGAGGTGGCGACCAAAGCAATTCCAATTACGGCTACGGATATGGGGTGAACCATGCCCAAGGCGGACGGGAGGAGATCACATTCCTGGTGCCCGCTTCCAAGTGTGGAGTAGGTTTCATCTTTGGCTTCGATTTGCATTTCCCTTAATATTAAATCGCTTTTTCAGATTGTTATTGGCCGCGGTGGCGAGACCATTAAGCTGATCAACCAGCAATCCGGAGCCCACACCGAAATGGATCGCAATGCCAGCAATCCGCCCAACGAGAAACTCTTCAAATCCAAGGGCACCACCGACCAGGTGGAGGCAGCCCGCCAAATGATCTCCGAAAAGATAAACATGGAGCTGAATGTCATCTCCCGCAAGCCCATCGGCGGAGGAGGTGGTGGCCAAGGAGGCGGGGGCCAGAACAACTCACATCACAATCAACAGCAGGGCGGCGGCTATGGTGGCCCCAATCAAATGCAAGGTGGCGATCCTAGCTCGGGTCAGGGCTATCAGCAGCAACAGCAGCAGCCTTGGGGAGGTGCTCCCTACGGTCAGCAGGGCTGGGATCCGTCCGGTCAGCAGCAACAGCAGCAGCAACAAATGGCGATGGCAGCCAATCAGGGTGCAGCTGCTGGTGCGGGAGCAGGAGGCGGCGGTCAGGATTACTCGGCGCAATGGATAGAATACTACAAGTGAGTTCTGAATTCATTGAACCTCAAAATAACCTTTATAAACGTTTACAAATATTAATTCTTCAGACAAATGGGCTGCCATCGGGAGGCTGAGATGATCGAGCAACAGATGAAGGCCAAGCAAGCGGGCGGTGCCTCCGGCCCTGGCCAGCAGCAACCCCAACAACAGCAGCAGCAGCAGCAACAGCCCCAACAGCAGTCACAGGCCCAGCAGCAAGCAGGTGGTGCCAGCGGAGCTGGAGGAGCCGACTACAGTGCACAATGGGCGGAATATTACCGCAGTGTGGGCAAGATCGAAGAGGCTGAGGCCATTGAAAAGACATTAAAAAACAAGGTAAGAGTTCTACAAATGATCTATATACTTGAATTTAAACTAACAAACTATTTCCTATAATAGTCACAGAACGGAGCACCTAGCGGTGGCCAGAACAATGCGCCTAATCCCGGCCAGGGCGGTGGTCCCAATCCCGGCCAGCAACAGCCCAATCCAGCCGCAGCGGCGGCAGCAGCAGCAGCTGCGGCGGCAGCGGCAGCTAGCGGATATGGACAGAGTATGACACCCAGCCAGTACGCTCAGTATTCGCAGTATTATGCGGCCGCAGCTGCTGCTGGTGGCCAGCCGCAAGGAGCGCCGCAGCCAGGCGGCGGACAGGGTGGCGGTCCACCAGCGGGTTATCCTGGTGGCTATCCAGGCGCTGGCTACGGCGGCTATCCCGGCGCACCGGGCCAACAGCAGCAGAAAACGCACAAAAACGACAAACACTGAGAGCGTTAGGAGAGGGATCGGGAGCGGGAAGCTGAAGTCGACGACGCTTCGATGAAAGGGCGATGCAGGTGCCTTGCATGGGGTGAGTTATACCCAGTTGCTGGTAGTGGAGTGTGTAATATACAAAAATCGATTTGAATTGAACTTGAATTTACCGCCTTTGTAATTTTCCTTTACGTATTTTATTGCTTTACCTATCTGCTTCCGAAAAACCCGCTTAGTTTTAGAAAATGCATCTACCCTCTCCATTTTTAAAGACATTAATGGGTGGTCCTCCAACTGAGCATACGAAAATGTTAATTTTGAAATTCTTCAAGTGGTTATTAGGTTAAGTCTGTCTCTAAGCTATGATTTATTTCAATTGAAAATAATTGTAGATGTACATAGATTTATTTTGTATAATTTGCCTATGCTCAGCTGAGAAACACTGACCCACATCCTCTATATTCTATATATATATATATTGACTTTTTTATATGCTAACCAATCTTATTTACCATGCGTAAAAACTCTTTGCAGTGATCTATTGTTCTACTATGTCCTATGTCTTTTATCCCCCACAAAAAAAAAAAAAAAAAAAAAAAAAGAAAAACTAGCAAATCCGAAAAGAAGATTTTTAGTTGCATTAAAAAAGCAGAAAAACAACAACAGAGCAGCATCGCCCCAAGGACAGAAACAGACAGAGACAACAGGAGGAGGAGCAGGAACGGAGTCAATAAATTGAAAAGTGCAACATTGAACGTTTAGCTTGTGCCGTCGCACTTTTGCATAAATGTAAATTAATATTATTATTAACACGTGTCTATTATTTGGATATTGCCTATAATTCCCCCCATTAGTGCCGTAAGCTCCTTTTCCCGAGAACCTAAGTCTATCTATATATGCCTAAACCTAACATTATGAAAGATATATGCCTATGCCTATTGCTGATGATCATGATCACCATTTGTACAGACACAAAGAAGCCAATTATGACAATGTTTTGGGTGTTTATATATGATTTCTCTCACTTTACCGTCAATTTAGGCAAATCGAACCATCAGCAGTCTCCTTTTAAATACATTTGGGAGAGAACTCCCAATTGCAATAACACTTAAATACCATATATATTCTTAGTGGCTTACGCCTATATATATATATATATAAATTTACTGCTTAAAAGATAACGAACGTTTTTGATACATGAACCCATTTTCACGTAGCCTAGCTTAGTTTATAAAAGAAAAAAACCACTTGAACAACAAGAGAGATCTGCAATTACACACGATCAACGACATCTGCTGATCTGGTAAGATTATTAACTTGTAACCGAACCTTAATCATACAACATTTGCAAAAACGAGGGCCTGGTTCACAGTGAGTTCTTTCTCATGCTAATATTTTCACCTTTCAGTTGGTACTTGATTATTTATAGCTGTAAGCTGAAACTGAATTAACTTAATATAAATTATTTCCTGCTCGACATATATTTGTGTTATATTCGAATCAATAGTTATCCTTAAAAGAACTCAACTCATTTACAAGCAGGAAAATCATGCTTGTTTTAATATACATATATATATATTTATATTATCATATGCAAACATAAAGTATATTCTTTCAGAGACAGAGGCCGCTCTTCAGACGAGTTTTAAACAGAATTACGAAATGAAAAACCCCAAAACTTTTTCACAATATTTAACCCCTAACGAACATGAACAAAATATACAAACAAGATATTGTAAAAGTGTCAAACTTGGTAAGATCATCGTGTGTTGTTGTTATTGTCTATATACAATTATACATAACTATTGCAATTGAATATACTTACCCAAAATGAATGTAGGTCTACCATTATTTATAAACACCACTCTGAAATAATCTAAATTAAGTTTTACGTCTCCCCAAATATCTGATTGTTGCAACAGCAGATGAACCATATATATATTGTAACCGTTGCCGGCTCAGATCGGAATCCAGATCCAGATCCTGATCCGCCCTGCAGTCGGCGAAACTTTGAATAAACATTTAATATATACCATATAATATATATCCATATATATAAACATATTATCAGCATATGGCACTTTGGTGCTTTGTGCGTCCTACTGCGTTTCTATTGATTATATTTATACCCGTTACTCGTAGGATCTCGGGATCTATAGGTCCAAAAGCTACAAAATTTGGGATGTAGGCTCCTCTGAAAATAATATTTAAATTTACTAAAAGTCCACAGAACATTTTGTAGGTCATGATTAAAGTATGCTGTTTTTTATAGGACCACTGAGTAGCGGGTATCACACAGTCGGTGTATTTCGATTGTATTATCATCTATTTTATTTTGAAACCCGTTTCTCGAGCATATTTGCAGAGGCTCTTGTTCTTGGAGATGAGATCTGGGGGATCGGGAGAGGCTTTAACTTTTCGTAGTCGATTGGTCGATATTAGGTATGCTTTGAACCATATTGGAATTACATTTTTTATATCAAACTGCACATTTATAATATTGCTAACTCTGATTATCCTGAATATATTTTCTATATATTATTATTATCTGTGAAATTTTCATATTCAATATATATATAAATATATACATTTCTATATATTTTCCTAGCAACAGCAACGATATTCGATTTCCCGAACAGTGCTCTCTCAATATTACTCATTTCAGTGCTGTATTTTTGTGAAATATCGTTTCAAGGTATCATTTGCTTGCTATATAAGCGGTTTACATTGGCTCCCAAGCCTATCCCATATTTATATTGTTACATTTCGTATACTATATACTTTATATACATATATTAACTAACAACTCATATGATAAGTGTGGCAAAAGGTTAGGGTTTGGATAGCATCCAAAGCAATTGTGAATAGTACCTGTACCTGTATTCAATGGCAGTTTGAAGAAGCTTAGCTCAATATTTATGTGGTTTTGGGAAGTCTTTTCTCTTTCGTTTTTAATTTCAGAAAAGGTTCTCTAGATGATGTGCGTTTACACAGAGAGGTAAGTATGAGACCATATGCCAGATGTAGCGCGTTAAATAACCCATTTCGTTAAGCATTTATTTTGGGTCCAATGTCAAGCCGTTTATTTTGCAATCAAATGATATATATATATTTTTGAAATTGACATTTCTGCATACATTTCCATTTATATTTGATTTAAATTACGTGCTTTGATCTATTTGCAGGACCAATTGAGAGAAAAGTTTATTATATTCCCATATTCTCATTGATATATGTATTTTTACCAGAAATTATCGCAATATTTTTCATATATATATATATACATATTTTTTTTATACATGAAAACCTTTATTTATCTGAATCATCATGACTGACTATCTGTGTGTGTTTCAGCCCTATGTCACCGTGATATCTTCCAATATCTCTGATCCGAAATTAGTTTTAGCTTTCGAAGTAGTTCCTAAATCGTTGTATATAAAATTAATTGTATTACTAGTAATACTTTTCTCATGTCATCGATATTGATTATTTAAATTTCCAAATAAACTTTTCAACTAACGAAAAAAAACCCCAGTAAAGATTATTTTTCACGTGGAAAATTTGTGATTTTTAAGGGTTTCCGTTGTTTTAGGAAACATTTAAGCATTTCCCATCCAAACCGCCAAATAATAATCACCATTTTACTTAATTTGTAGCGTTTTATTACTGAATACACTGCAATTATTTTTTTTTTATTTTTATTTTATCCCTTTAGCACTTTGCAGCGAAACATTGAAAGTTGAAACAGAAACTCATTCAGTGGTTTGGGACACAGACATACATCGAGTTTGTTGTTTTTTTTTTTTTTTTTTGTTATTTATTTACGTGTTTACTACAAGAAAACTTACATTGAGATGCGGCTGTGATAAGATTCAAACTGATTTTGTTCTTTGTGGTAATTTCTGTTAGCTTGATATCCGGTTTTTCAATTCTTGTACTCCCTTTTCTTTATTTCTCGTTTTAAAATTAACATACATCTATTTTTACTTCGTTTATATCCTAATATTTATAATATTTAACTTTATTCATTCATTATTTTTTCTCTTTCCATTTTTATCAATCTTTTGTTTGTTTATTTTACTCACACTGGGTCGTGTGAGCTTGTTGCCGAGAAACCTTCCTCCTATCGTCGTCGATCACTAAGGCCAGAGCTCTTTTTTGGGGCGGGGAATATTGAAATAATGGGGTAGAAATTAAAATCTGGAACAACATCTGCTGGGGGGAATCACTCGCTCCGCTTTAGTGTGTATTTTTCTGTGCTGCCCAAAAAGCTCAATTTTTTACATAGCCAAAAACGTTTTGCAAGTGTTTTTTCTTTTTTTCATCCATTTTCGTTTTTGTACTGCTGCCAGTTTTATCAATTTGTAATTTGCTTTTAGTTTATTATTTCTCGTGCCTTAATTTTAAATACATCATTGAACGTCAAATCAAAATGCACTATTTTAGATTTGCTTTTATCGGATTTTTACAATATAATCTTTCTTAATGTACACACTTTTTTGTGCAAAGCTGTCCAAATCAGAAAAAAACGTGTGTATGGATGCTAGAATTGGACAAAATAAAAATTGTATATATACAATTGAATATATATAAGAGTGGATAGTCTACTGCCGCTGACGCTAGGTTTAAGGTTAACTGCAGATAGCTTTTAGGATAGGAGCACAAATTATATACTTATAGGACAACTACTAAGAGTAACTCTTTTCGCGAACTACGCCGGGCGATGTTCTGTCTCGGCAGTTTTTGAAAAGTGCTGTGCAAACAATGTGCTGACTTTGATGTCGCCATTTGTTTTGTTTGTCTTAAGGACCTGGACCCTCCCCCGGCTTTCGTCTCTACGTAGTCTATGTCGCAATTAACTGAAAGAGAATAAAATGTTTAAAATTATGTTTGTTAATGCCAAGGGAGTTCGCTTACCGCTTTGACTGTTGCCTTGATGAAGTCTTTCTTTTCTGTTAGATCAAAGTCTGGATATTTCGCATACACTTGCTTGCACACTGTTTTCATTGTAATCTCCTCGAGATTGGCTTTATCCAAGATCTCTTTGACATAGCCGCGAATTTGTTCATCCTATAAATATAATTATAGATTTAAATACTACATAATACACCTTAGGAGAAGAAGACTAACCGTTGGGAATGCCTGTTTGCCCTTTTTGGTTAGTGGCTCGTCCTCGTCGGATTCGTCCTTGTCATCGACATCATCGTCCTCTTCCTCGGACGACTCCTTCTTTGATTTCTTCGATCGACCATCGGCTTTTGGATAATGGGAAAAAAACAATTAAAAATCGCTCTTGGGGATTCCTTCCGTGGACTTACCCTTTCCAGCTGGTTTTGACTTGTTATTAGCTTTGCTATTTTTCGCAGGCGTTGTGGGTTTCTTACTCTTTTTGGGACGTTCCTCCTGCAGGGAAAATAAGCGTCATGTAACTACCAGATATTGTATATAGTTTAGATGGCTTACCTCGCTTTGATCACTGCCAAACTCGGACAGCTCCTCCTCCTCTTCATCTTCGGATATATCTTCTTCTTCGCTATCGGAATCCTTACGCCTTCGCGCCGCTGCTCCGCGCCCTCTACCTCTTCGTCCAGCTGGCGCAGGTGCTGCTGGTCGTCCACGTTTGCCCACTGCGCCCCGCTTCCGTTTCGGGACCTGTATAGGCGGAGAGATGTTTCAAAACAAATAATGGGAAACAATCATTATTAGGTCAACCTACATCACTATCGGCCTCGGACAGTTCGGATTCCTCTTCCTCCTCTGAATCAGAGTTTCTTCGGCGACTCTTACGCGCCGGACGACCGCGACTGCCACGGCTGGGAGCTTTTCGAGCAGCTGCACCTCCGCCACCACCACCACGACCGGCATCGGAATCCGAATTTCCCGAAGGATTGTACTGTTGATAAAGATAAAAATTATCAAATCTTTTCGCCATTTGCATAACCAACTCGTCTTACATCTGAGCCAGATTCGGAGTCATCATTACGTCTCCTCTTGGCCACTGCCACTTTGTGTTCGCTCTCCTCAGAGCTGGAGAAATCAACATATGCGGACATTTCTGCAAACATAATACAAATTAAGTTAGCTCTAAAAGGTAATTATGAAGTCTGCGATAATCCTACTTTTTCCTGCGGTGGATCGCCTGGGACGTCCAGCGGAATTGCGCGCAGAACCTCTGCCAGCTGGTCCACTGGACTTGGTGCTCTTCCGCTTCTTGTCTTCCTCACTGGGCGGATCTTCCTCATCCTCATCCTCGTCCAGATCCTCTTCCTCGGCATCTTCCTCATCTTCATCGCCCTGCTCCAAGCAGAGCGATTCATCGGGTTCCATTAGGAATTTGAGCACCCGCAGCACAATCTCGTTTTTGCTGCCCTTGCGATCGAGCACAAGTATCTCACAGATGCTGCGCAGACCCTTGTTGTCGACCTTTTTGATGGACTCCAGCTTCTTGTTGTACTCTGCCGAATCCTTGGCGAACTCGAAGCCGGCAAAGGAGCGCAAGTTTTTCTTCACCACGTTGTTCTTGCCCTGGGCTCCAAAGCAGAGCTAAAAAAGAGATCGGGAAATATCAGAGTTTGTATTATAAGATTTGTAAGTTTTGTGGCTAGCTTACTGCATGCAGCGTTTGGAGCCCATCCACACGAGTCTTGTTTATGTTCTCGTTGATGCGATCGATCTCGGCGAGAGCCACGACATTCTCATCATCCTCGGCTACCTCGTTGTTCTTGTCCAAGCCGTCGTTCTCATCACCATCAGCATCATCTTCGGCGTCTTCATCATCCTCTTCGTCGTCATCGTTCTCCGCCTTGCCCAGCTTGCCGTTCTTGGCTTTTGTCGACTCGGTCTTCTTGGCCTTTTCTGCTCCTGCCTTTGGCTTTGCCTCATCTGTGGCATCCTTCTTCTTGTCTTCAGCTTCCGGTTTGGCTTTCTGCTTCTTGTCACCATCCGCGGTGCTGGCCTTGTCATCTTCCTCCTCATTCTCATCCGGCTCATCGCCATCCTCTGTATTTTCATCATCCTTGTCGTCGTCCTCCTCCTTTTTAGCAGCATCCTTGCTGTTACTAGATTTCTTTACAGCCGGCGAAGGGGATTTCTCCTTTTTGTCTGCAGCTGCTAAAATAATGAATTTTAAAGTAATATTATTTAAACTATAAAAACATATCAATATATTAATACATATATAAAATAAAGAAAAAAAGTTAACAAAAATTATCTTCAACCTTGGGAAGTCCAATGCTAGGCTTTGGGAGCGCAAGGGGACTATGAATATTGAAGTTTTGCTGTACCTCGACTCTTACTACGCACAACCCATATAGAAGGATTTAGCATGAACAATAGCCAAGGATAATATTAAGAGAAATAGAAGAAATTTAGCATAGTTTTCGAATAAAGTTTTATAAACATTCGCGCGGAGAGGATTCGAACCGCATGCCGGCCGCAACACCATAAACAAGAGACGGAACGACGCGCTAGACCACAGAGCCACTAGGAAGCTCTCTCAGCACGTACATAAACACCAATTGGAAGCCCAAAGGGAATGGGAGACAGAGAGAGCGCTAGAATCAAATAAGAGAGCAGAGCACACGGGCCCCCCTACCAGCCCCCAGAGGGAAAGAGAGAGACAACAAGAATAAAGTTCGCCGCGTTTCTGAAACGCGCGCAAAATTCATTTTATGATTTTTGTTTTTCTCTCTCGTTCTTAGCACACACACACACACACTGACAGGTTGCGGCTGTGTGCGCGTGGCTTTTATTTACCTGCATCCGATTCGGGAGCTGGAGCTGCCGTTGCGTCTCCTTTGGCTTTTTTATCAGCGACGTCATCAGTGGCCGCAGCAGAGGCGTCGACATCGGCGGCGGCAGGGGGTGTCACTGCATCGGTGGCCTTTTCGGCTTTGGCCTCCCCCGCGGCGCCCGCTGCATTTTCCACATCGCTTACCTTATCGGCGGCATTTTCTTTGGCTGCCGTTTCTGCCGCTTTGTTAGCATCCTGCCGATGGAAGGGGAACATGGAAATATACAAAAATCACTCTGAATTACACTTGCTAATTTTTGGCGGCCACTACCATAGGTTTTTGTGCGTTTTTATTCGAACAAGAGTGAGTTTCCACGGCGGGCTTGTGTATGCGTGTCTTTCTCCGAGCGAGAGGAGAGAGGCGATAGAAATTGAAAAAACAACATTGCAAATCTATGAGGCGGCCACACACTCGCCATCCCGCTCACGCGCACGTATTTGTCGGGCGCCCGACGAGCGCAACGACGCCATGTTTATACACACATAAATGAGCGGGGAGAGAACCGATAGTCGGGCACTTTGCATCCACACGGTGGCGGAGAATTTGTTGCGCTTTATTTACACACAAAACACCTTTCCGATCGGGCCGTTTTCTATGCGCCCACCCTACTTGCACTTTCCGGCGAGTTTTCAATGCTTTTTTAGCAATTTACATACCATAATTCTAATGGTTTTTCTGTTTTTCCGTCAGCCGACACACATTCAATCTGGTCACTAGAAGTGGTGCGATAGTATCGCGGGCGGCAGGTACTAAAAAATGCCACGCCGCATAAAGGGTGTTCTTTTCTGGCGTAGTTTTGGTGGGCTTTTAAGGGGTTTATAACGTTAAATAAACGATTATGTAATTTTATATTTATTTTAACACATTTTTAATTGTTACTTTTTGAGATTTATTTAATCGCAAAATTAAAATTTTATAGTTTTCGAGCGTTATATTTGATTGTGCTGGTTTCCGATATTTTGGTTTTTGGTTTTTGTGCCATACGGTCCCACTGGAACAGAAAAAGCGCGCGGCGTGTTTTTGCAAACAAAACAATTTTGGCAAAACGTTGGCATTGCCTCCTAAAATCCAACATTTGTTTATATTCTTCTGATTTGGAATAACTAGACTGCCATGGGAATTTTGGGCTTATCCAAGCTCATCGCCGACTTGGCCCCGCAGGCCATTCGCGAAAGTGAGATCAAGAACTTCTTCGGTGAGTTACCTACGCTTTCTTTAATTATAGAACTAATTCCTAGTTTGTTCTATTTTCTTCTAAAGGTCGCAAGGTGGCCATTGATGCTAGTATGTGCCTGTATCAGTTTCTCATCGCTGTGCGTGCCGAGGGCGCCCAGTTGGCCAGTGTAAATGGTGATCCCACTTCCCACTTGATGGGCATGTTCTATCGCACCATCCGTTTGCTGGACAACGGAATCAAGCCGGTGTATGTTTTCGATGGCAAACCCCCAGATCTAAAGTCCGGAGAGCTGGCCAAGCGAGCCGAGCGAAGGGAGGAAGCGGAGAAGGCTTTGAAAGCGGCCACGGATGCGGGAGATGATGCCGGCATCGAGAAGTTCAATCGCCGATTGGTGCGTGTGACCAAGGATCACGCCAATGAGGCCAAGGAGTTGCTCTCGCTTATGGGCGTGCCCTTTGTGGAGGCTCCCTGCGAGGCGGAGGCGCAGTGCGCTGCCTTGGTCAAGGCGGGCAAGGTCTATGCCACTGCCACGGAGGATATGGATGCCCTTACCTTCGGCTCCACGAAGCTGCTGCGATACCTTACCTACAGCGAGGCACGCAAAATGCCCGTCAAGGAGTTCAATTACGACAAGCTGCTCGAGGGTCTGTCCATCAACAGCCGGGAGTTTATCGATCTCTGCATCCTGCTCGGTTGCGATTACTGCGAGAGCATCAAGGGCATCGGGCCCAAGCGAGCCATTGAGCTGATCAACAATTACAGGGATATCGAGACCATACTGGACAATTTGGATACCAGCAAGTACACAGTGCCCGAGAACTGGAACTACAAGGTGGCGCGCGAGCTGTTCATCGAACCGGAGGTGGCCAATGCCGAGAACATCGATCTCAAGTGGACGGAACCCGACGAGGAGGGTCTGGTCAAGTTCCTCTGCGGCGACCGGCAGTTCAATGAGGAACGCGTTCGCAGCGGCGCCAAGAAACTTCTCAAATCGAAACAGGCCCAGACCCAGGTGCGACTCGATAGCTTCTTCAAGACCCTGCCCAGTACACCGAGTGCCATCAATGCTGCCAAACGGAAGGCCGAGGAGGCCAAGAAGAGTGCCAACAACAAGAAGGCCAAGACCAGCGGGGGCGGAGCTCGTGGCAGAAGGCCCAAGTAGGAAACTCTGGTTGTGGTCTGGAAAAAACATACAATTCTTTTAATATTAAACTTATCCGTATTTAAAGCCTACGCATACAATAATAAAAACTACATCTTTGAGCTTAATCCTAGTTGGTCTGCTTGTGGGCGCGGTGAGGTTGGGATGTTGGATTATGGATATATTGGATTTTGAATTAAGAGCTTGGATTCTAAGGATTCCTAGGTAGCTGGGCTGCGTGCGGGGACTACAGCAAATACTGCTTGGCCAAAGCGCGCAGAAATCTCGATTTCCGCACCATGGCGCTCTCTCGTTTGATCTCCTCGTTGTTGTTTGCATTCAGCTCCAGGGTGCCCATCATGGAGATCTGTTTTGATGGAAAATAAACAGATAAAGATCATTTCCCACTGGTACCATATAGCTACCGCTTCTTACCGCTTCCAGTTTCCGACTGTGCTCGCCTCGTTTCGCGTGCAGGTTGACTATGAACTCCAGCAGCGTTGTGTCCCAAATGCAGCTGTAATACGCATCCATGGCGTCCGTGAAATTCGACGACTTCTCGCTGAGATTCTTAAACACAATGCCGTAGTCGATTTCATCGAGAAACTGGCACAGAACTGTGGCCTGCATGTGGCAGCCAAGATTGGCGGCACACCGAATCATCTTGCGGATGACATAGTCATCGGCCACATTCCTTTGCAGCGGCATCGTGCAGTAATCCGTTCCGGTGACCAAAGCGTTCACATAGCAGCGCATGGCGGACTCATTGTTGCCAATGGCCAGGTCTAGGTCGCCCTTCATCTTTAGCCAGGATATGGTTTGGGGATAGTAGGCCAAGGCCTCGGATAGCAGCCATTGAAGGATCTCGCAGACGCTCCTCAAGCTGTAGCTGATGGGGCTGAAATGGGGAAAACCGAGAGGATTAGCCTGGCATTATATCATCTAAAGGATAAACTTTTTACTTGTTTATGCTCGTGGGCCACAGCTGCATATACTCGCAGCTCAGATCATGATTGGGATCGTCCTTGAGGATGTTATGGATCTTGCCCAGCATGGAAATGGCCAGCCCAAAGACGCTCTGGTGACGGATGCGTTGCAGGAAGGCCTGCAGAGAGCTGATCCCGCCCATACCCGACGAAGCCCGCTTGGGGACATTAAGGAACATGCTTAGCATAAGCTCCCAGGAGTCGCGACACACCTTCTTGGGGCCCTTCATCTTCTCCATCTCGATGAAGGTGGCGGCAAAGGCCAGCGGCATTTCCAGCGGACCTGCCCGCTTGTCCAGGTAAAGTAGAGGTGGGAATTCCGTAAGGTTGAGCAGCATGATCGCACAGCTCTCGAGGATGTCCGGCCGCGGGATGATTGAATCTCCCGCCTGCAGGGCTCCCAAGCATTGCTTACATCTACCGCTAAGTGCTTGGAGATCCAGCGGCTTCTGGTGCCACTCCTCCAGGCATTGCGTAATCTGTATATGCAGGATCTCCCAGGTGAGCAGCTTGCACATCAGCTGCACATTGGCCGCCATCTCCTGCCGTTGCGTCTCCGACTTCAGTACGCTGAGCATGGACACCGCGTCTATGTAGTTGCCCCTGGTTGCCAGTTCTCTTGCTTTTCCCAGCAGCACATAACTGAAATCCTGCAGGAAGCTAACTGGCATGGCCATGATCAAGGCCTTTAGGGGCTGTGGCACATCCCAACTGGGATTGATGGCCCAGAGGGGTTTGGCAGGCGCTGTGCCGCAGAGTTTCACCAGCAGTATCCTCACTGTATTGGCATTGGTGCAGCTGATCAGTTGTCGTTCCAAGGCGCCCACATCTATTCGGTTCACTGGAGGAGAGAATGAGAACGTTAAGTAAGCTTACTGACATTAATTTTTTTGAGAACACTTACTCTTCGAGTGGCACATCCAGTCGGAGAGCGAGGCCAGCGAGTTCGTGGGCACTGGCGGTGCTGCCTGCAGCATCTGCTCATCCAAATCCTTAAGCTCATCGGCCGTAAAAAGGCCAAACCCCCGCACTGTCTGCAGTAGAGGCCGCGACTGTCCTCCCTGATGCATCAAGCAATCAATGAGAAACTGCTTGAGCGCCTCCTGCTCCTTGGGACTGCAGTAGCCTAGCACCTCCTGGAGACCCTCTACCAGCGGCGGCAGGCAGTCCAGTTCCCGATACTTCTCAAAGTACTCCACGCTGCCAAATATGCTGCCCCACTCGAAGATGTTGCGAACGACATTCAAGGCGGCCACTTGCAGTTGGAGCTGGACGGTTTCCTTGAGCAAGCCTGTGGAGAGCGTGCCCTCGATGTCCAGTTCCAGTTGCCTTCGACTAACGAGTGGAATTTCCCTGGCTTTATTGTCTAACCGCAGGATGGGCACAATGTCCGCATAATTGTTTAGCAGGGATTGTTGAAACCGTTCCAGGAGAGTCTGAGCCTGAGCACTGATGCCACAGGCTTGCAGCAAACCCTCCAGTTCCTCCGGCCGTATGTGACAGAAGTGGAGCGTGGTCTGAGGGGGTATGGCTTGCAGATTGCTATTGCAGGCGGCGGCCGCTTCTCGGGCCAAGACATACTGTTTGGTGTACAGGTAGTACTGGGCCAGCTCATAGTGTAGCTGGGCCCGCAGCTCCTGTGGCGTAATCAGATGCATTAGATCATAGTTCTGGCCTGTTCCCAGATCGTCGCACTGCAGCGTTACAAAGCTATCGTAGTGGAAGACGTAGAAGGGCTTCGCCGAGGCGCACAGCTGCTGCAGATACTCGATGGAGGGTTGTGTGGGTGTCTCCAGGAACTGCTGCAGTTGATCTATCGTTTGGTACCTGGAGAGATACAAGAAAACTTGTTAGCAGGCAGGAAATGGAGCATCGCAGTGGACCTACATATTCGGCGGACGTTGCGTTTTCAGAGCCTGTTCCTTGATGAGCTGTAATCGTAGCAGCAGTCGGTGATATATGGTCAGGGCAAACCTCGCTGCTCTCTCATTGCCAGCCGCAGCTAAGGTTAATGTTTGATTAATAAAACTTGGAGTAATCCTTGGGAGCAAACTACTCACATATCTTCATGTCGAATTCACTGGGCAGGGGAATACCTAAAGGGCGACCATAGCTAATTGTGCAGAGATCTCGCAGCAGGGCCAGCTGCATAAACACTGGCAGGTTCTTCTCCAGCGCATCCAGATCCCACTTCAGCCAGGTGGCAACCTTAAGCTCCAGAATCTTGAGGGCCAGCTGCTTTCTCGTCAACTGTAAACCATTCTCTCCTGCAATTTGTGGAATGGGTGGCACAATCAGGGCGGCGGAAGCGGCTGGAGTGGGCGCATTGGCACCGCCAACCACGCCGGGAATGGGACCGCCGGAACCGGGTACCGCCAAGCTTTGCAAGTCGCTGCCCGGCGTCACAACCGATGCCATTGCCGTGTCTGGTGT